GAAGTTTTTTCTAGGCTTTCCTTGTATGTCAGCTTTTTTTTCAGGTAGCTCACATCATGGTTGCAGAATGAGTGCAGCAATTTCATGTATCGCATCCAGATATGACAGCAGGCACAGAAAGAAGAGACCATCAGTCCCCTTTTGTGAATCTGTCTTAGGAAAGAGAATACCTTTCCCAGAAGTTCCCAGGAGAAGGAACTTAAATCTTGTTGGACACAACTGTGTTACACACCCTAACCTAAATTAGTTCCTGGCAAGAGTAATGGAGCCATCATGACTGGCTTAGATCAATTAGAAATTGCCCTCTAGGGCTGGTTTGGGGTCCTCCATAAAATAAATGTCAGTACCCAGGAAGGTGGATCCTTTTGAGAGGAGAAAACGGGTTTTTGTTAGAAAGGACAAATGGCAGAGGAGAAAGAATATTAACCGGGCAACTAGAAGTATATACTGCATTAGATTATTTAGTAAATGGTTTTAGAAGAATTGACTTTTTATTTGGTCTTTTACATGTTAGTGAGGTTAAATTGGTTAAAAGAATTGTTCAGATATCCTTTTTTTAATCTTTTCTTTTTTTTTTTTTTGGTCTACTTGTAATATCAGTTACTGAGAGAGGAGTGTAAATAACTTCAGCTATAACTGTGGCCTTGTGCATTTCTCTTTACAGCACTATCAGTTTCGTCTCATGTATTTTGATCTCTTTCATTAGGTGCATGCACATTTAGGATTGCTGCCTTTTTATTAGTGAAGTGTATTTGACTTGTTTCTTGATGAAATCACCCCCTTTTTATAAAGTGTTGCCTTTTTTCTCTGATGATATTTCTTGTTTTAATGTCTACCTTTCCTGATATTAATGTCGCCATGCAACTTTCTTATAAGTCGTGTTTGCATGATATATCTTTTTTCATCCTTTTACTTTTAACCCATCTGTCCTTTGTGTTTAAGATGCATCTCTTGGGGCGCCTGGCTGGCTCAGTCAGAGCATGCGACTCTTGATCTTGGAGTTGTAAGGTTGAGCCCTACGCTGGGTATAGAGGTTACTTAAAAATAAAATCTCTCTAAAATAAGTAAATAAATAAAAAAATAAAATAAAAATAAAAATAAAATAAAAAATAAAAAATAAAAATAAATAAAAATAAATAAAATAAATAAAATCTTTTTTTTTTTGGATGGATTTGGATAGTGGTCATGGATTTTTTGGATGGATTTGGATGGTAGTCATGGATTTTTTAAATCCATGACCACCTCTGCCTTTTAATTGAATTACTGAGTCTGTTTATATTTAATGTAATTATCAATATGATTGAGTTCAAGTTCTTCTATCTTGATAATTGTTTTTATTCATCCTTTCTGTTCTTTGTTTCCTTTTCCCTCTTTTCTCATCTTTTGGATTTATTGATTTTTTTTTAAATTTTTTATTTATTTAATAGAGATTACAAGTAGGCAGAGAGGCAGGCAGAGAGAGGGGGAAGTAGGTTCCCTGCTGAGCAGAGAGTCCGATGCGGGACTCGATCCCAGGATGCTGGGATCATGACCTGGGCTGAAGGCAGAGGCTTTAACCCACTGAGCCTCCCGGATTTATTGATTTAAAAAAAAAAAAAAAAGATTTCATTTTATCTCTTCCATTGGTTTCTTAGCTGTGTGTGTGTGTGTGTGTGTGTGTGTGTGTATACTTTTTTTATAGATACTTTTTTTTTTAAGATTTTATTTATTTATTTATTTGTCAGAAAGAAAGAGAGAGAAAGCACACAAGCAGGCAGAGAGGCAGGCAGAGGCGGAGAGAGAGGCAGGCTCCCTGCTGAGCAAGGAGCCCGATGCGGGACTCGATCCCAGGACCCTGGGATCATGACCTGAGCCGAAGGCAACGGCTTAACCCACTGAGCCACCCAGGTGTCCCTATAGATACTTTTTAAATAGTAGTAGCGTTGGGTCTCAACTGTCACATATGGACATTTTGGGCCGGATAATTCTTTACTATGAGGGGCTAACCTGTGTATTATGGGATGTTTTATAGCATTTCTGACCTCTGCCTACTAAATAGCAGTAGTCGTAGCCCGTCATGACAATGAAAAAGGTCTCCAGTGATCGCCACCTGTGGAAATAGGAGGAGGCAAGCTGCCCTTGGTTGAGAACTCAGCTCTAGAGCTTACATTTTGCATTTTTAATTTGTAACAGTCTGTCTTGAAGTAATACGCCACTTCCCGTATTGTGTTAGAATCTTAGAATAGTACACTTCTATTTTGTCTCTCTCATCCTGTGCTATGGTTGTCCTGCATCTTATTTCTCTACATTACAAACCCCACATTGCATTGTTACTATTTTTGCTTTAGTTTTTCTGTTTTCTGTTAAAGATATAACAAAAAGGAGTAAAAAGTTTTATATTTACCAAGCTCATTTTGTACTTTTCCTCCTCTAGCCATGGGGTCAGCCATTTTTCCAAGGAACCCTGATTCCTTTAGTGGAAAGTAATAATTAGCTAGAATCTGAGTACTAGATATGCTACTGCTATATTATGTGTGTGCATTTATATGTACACATATTTATATCTATATTTATTTCTATATATTGAAAACTGTGGGTTCATACTGATAAATCTAATTTCAATCAAACAACTCTAGTTTTTTCCTTTCCCTTCTTTGATATTGAAAAACCTGACTTCCATTGTCTTTCATATATTGACTTATTTTGTCAGTTCCCAGTATGCAACCAGTCTGTTGTTGCTGTTGCCCCCACCACCATGCAGTACCTCTCACTCCACTCAGGCTCTGACATCCTGTAGACTCCTGCATCACCCCACCTATTTCTGACACTCTCCCCACATCAGCCTTTTGCATGGATGCCAGTCTCATCCTTCTCAGCTCTAATACCTATGACAGGCTGCCCTCCCACCCAGAAGGCCTTTTCATTTAGTTTGGATTCTGATACTACCTTAGCCACCCCTTCCAGTGGACATTCTGCTAAAGCTTTGAGTCTGTTTGTTAGGTGGCTCACACTCACTTGCTTGGGCTCTAGCTATACATGTGTGCTGCCTCCTGAGCTTCCCCAGCATGGACACCCTCCTCATCCTCTCCTGATCCCATGCTAGCCCCATTTCTGCAGTGAGCTCTGACATTTCATGCTAAGCTACTCTTCTCTTTAGTTGCCTAGTTGTTCATCTTGCTTTGCACCAGCTGATAGCTTTAGTGCTGAATTGTTTTGTAAACAAAGGGCAAAAGGAAGAGGACCTTTCACTTATTTAAAACAAAAATAGTCTTCATTACAGTTTATGGTAATAGATTTGTATAGTCATTTGATTATCTTCTCTTGTAACCTTTCTGAAGGTAAGGACTGTTTTATGAATACAATATGGCCCCAAGGAACTAGCATGAAGTATGTGCTCAGTAAATTTTTACTGAATGAACATTCTTAAGTACTTCAGTCAGGTCATATAGCTGTTAATGTGTTTATGTGTTGAAGGCACGATTTGGACATGGTTCTCTGATTCTAAAGTTATCCTGACTGCTTTTACATCACATACTTACACTATAAAAAACTATGGAGAACAGAGGGAGTTTCCCATGTACGCAATTTATCTCAGTATAAGAGTTCATTATAGATTCAATATAAAGGTTAGAGCTTTTAAATAGTTTAGAAATAATATCATTCACTAATATAAAACTTTATATTCATTGAGTCATAAAATGTTGGTGCTGAATGGGGCTCCAGAGATACTCTTGTTCAGCACAACTAAGCAATGTAACACAAACTTGTCAAATACTAGTATTTGGGGAGGGATGGGTTTGGGTGAGGTGGGAGAATGTGTAGGTAATGTGGATAAGCCCTCCAGGTGATTCTGATTACACTCTTAAGTCTCTTAAAATAATTCTTAGTCTGTGATTTCACCTGATCCACACAGCAACCCTTAGAGACTTGCAGGGTAAGGAAAATTTAACAGATGCAGGAGCTGAGGCCTCAGGAATCAGAATGACTTCCCAAGGTTTCTTTTCCATCTTTATCATTCTCCAGAAACATTTTACATAGGAACATGATAGTATTTAATGTTTTTTCTATAATGCAATGTAATTGTCATAATGGGAGGTGTAGGAGAAGAAGATGTGAAATAGCCCAAGAATTTGGCAATTGGGCTAATTAATTTATGAGTTGCATTGCATTTCAGCAACGCTCAAAAAGTTGATGAGTTATATTCCAGGTTGTTAGGAAGATTAAATCATTTACAGATAATCATCCTGTTGTGTAGTTGAAGAATTTTAAGAAAATTACTGAAGAACTATCTGGGAGAGGGAAGAATTTCTCTCAAACTTGTACATCTTTAGTGGACGTTACTGGTACTTCTTATCTATGCGTGCTACTAATATTAGCATTGCACTGAGAAGCAATGTCTTAATACCTTATGTCATCAGAATTGTTTTGCTATGGATATATTGAGTATACCCGCTTGTAATTTTTCACAGATTACTTAATGACCCAGTTAGAGTTCTCAAGCAATGACTTTAATTTGTAGATCATCAGAAATGAGATATAGGAAAACTCCTTTGCCATGCTGAGTAGTTCAAAAGATGAATGTTTCAGTGTGAAATATTTTCTCTGGCCTTATTTAAATTGACTTGCTGGAACCTGAAAAGTAGTATTTTTAAAATGTATCACAAATAAGATTCAAAACTTAGTTTGCTGTGTTCTTACATTATTCACACTAAGAACTTGTATTTTTCAAAAGAAAATTTATTGAGAGACATGTGAGTATTCTTCCTGTTATTTTCTCTCTTTTACTCTACTGTTCACCAAGGGAACATCAATTTTTTCAAGTGTGAGAGCAATGACACCTTCCTTGCCAAGTTTGAGGACTGTGTATCAAATATGTAAAATACCACATATTATGTATGACACTTAACAGGTGCTTGATCATTGTTTTTATTGATTTTCCTAGTCTTTATCAATTACTACAAGAAGTAGCTTTAAGTATGCTTTGCTATTAAATAAATTCTTTGTCCCCTACTCTTCTGCAGGTGTGTCTACATCAGCGATCAAAATGGCATCAACCAGGCTTCCTTCCCCCAAAAGTTTAGTGGGCGCCCCAACTCAGATTCTCGCACAGTTTCCTAAACAGCATCAACAATCTCCTAAGCAGCAGTTACATCAAGTGCAGCAGCAGACCCCGCAGCATGTGGCCCAGCCTGCGCCAGTATCTCATCAGCAGCAACCTCAGCAGTCTCCTTTGCCACCTGGTATCAAGCCAACTATTCAAATCAAACAGGAGTCAGGTAACTGGAAAATGTTTATAAGATGTAATTCTTCCCCAGTCACTGCTTCTCTGAAGACTGTGAGTATATATGGATATACAGTTTCCTCAAGCACCAGAATTTAAATTCCAAAATATGTTTTGAGAGCCTCCTGTGGGAAATACTTATATAAAGAACTAGAGCTTGGGCATAGAAATGAGAAAAAAAGCAATTTGCTCAGCAGGAAATTATTTTCAATGAACTCTCCAGGGAGGTAAGGAAGCTGAGGAAGCAAACCCAGATTTTAGAATTATATTCTAGATGCACTGGGGTTATAGAATGTAGGCAGTTGAAAAATTAGTCTGGAGTTTTGTGTTAGAATGCTGTATTATGAATTTGGCATAAAATGGTATGAGCAGAAGCACTAAGATTATAAGACACTGTGTACGATAAAGTTTGTGGAATAATAATTTGGAAGTTTATTGAAAGCATCTCTAGGACAGTGGGAACTCAGGAGTAGGAGTCAATTAGTTTAAGTTATTGAATCATAAAGTATTGAATAGAGGTCAACTGGGTGGCTCAGTTGTTAAGCATTTTGCCTTCAGCTCAGGTCATGATCTCAGGGTTCTGGGATCGAGCCCCGTGTCAGGCTCCTCGCTCAGCAGGAAGCCTGCTTCACCCTCTCCCACTCCCCCTGTTTGTGTTCCCTCTCTCACTGTGTCTCTCTCTCTCTCTGTCAAATAAATAAATAAAAATCTTAAAAAAAAAAAAGTATTGAATAGAAAAGCAGGTAGGATGGGGGTTCAAACACAGGGAAATTAGAAAGACTCTTAATATACTTTATATCTTTAAGAAATAGAAATGGCTTTTTTTCTTCCTCCAATGAATCTGGACTTTATTTGGTGGTAAAAGAAGTGTTTGAAGATGCCAACATTTTCAGTTTCATTTGTTTTATTTTTTGATAGGAACATTTTGTTATTAGTTTTTGAGATATGACTGCCATATCTCAAACTTTGTATTATAGGTGTACAACATAGTGATCTGTGTATATATTTCAAAATGATTACAGCAAGTTTAGTCAACATTATTATACATAATCACATTTTTTTTCTTGTTATGAGAACTTTAAAGATTTATTCTCTAAGTGGGACGCCTGGGTGGCTCAGTTGCTTGAGCGGCTGCCTTCGGCTCAGGTCATGATCCCAGTGTCCTGGGATCAAGTCCCACATCGGGCTCCTTGCTCGGTGGGGAGCCTGCTTCTCCCTCTGCCTCTGCCTGCCACTCTGCCTGTGCTCACTCTCTCTTGACAAACAAATAAATAAAATCTTAAAAAAAAAAAAAGATTTATTCTCTTAGCAACTTTCAAATATAGTACAGTATTGTTAACTATAGCCACCATATTATAGGTTACATGCTTAGGATTTATTTATCTTATAACTGGAAGTTTATACCTCCTGACCACCTTTACCTATTTTGGCCAGCCCTCCATCCCCTGCCTCTGGCAACCACCAATATTCTTTCTATCTGTGAGTCTTTTTTCTGTTTGTTTTTTAAAGATTCTACATGTAAGTGAGATCGTTCAGTATGTCTTTCTCTGTTTTATTTCACTTAATGTAATGCCCTCAAGGCCCATCCACGTTGTCGCAAATGGCAGGATTTCTTTCTTTCTTTTTTAGTTTTATTTTAACTCATTAGTTAACATACAGTGTATTAGTTTCAAGCGTACAATATAGTGGTTCTACAATTCCATATATCACCCGGTGCTCATCACAAGTGCACTCCTTAATGTCTATCACTTACCTCCCCTCTGGCAGCCATCAGTTCTCTGTAGTTAAGAGTCTGTTTCTTAGTTTCTTTCTCTCCCTTTGCTTCTGTCTCTTTCCTTTTGCTCATTTGCTTTGTTTCTTAAATTCCACATTTCAGGGAAATCCTGCAGTATTTGTCTTTGTCCAACTGACTGACTTTGTTTAGCATTATGTTCTCTAGCTCCATTAGTGTTGTTGTAAATGGCCAGATTTCATTCTTCTTCTTTATGGCTGTATAATATTCCATCACACACAAACACACGTATACACACACACATAATGTCTTCCTTCTCCATTCATCTATCAATGGACACTTGGCTGCTTCCATAGTTTAGCTATTGAAAATAATGCTGCAGTAAACACAGGGGTATATGTATCCCTTCAAATTAGTGTTTTTGTATTCTTTGGGTAAATACCCAATAATACGATTGTAGGATCATAAGGTAGTTCTATTTTAACTTTTTGAGAAACCTCCAAACTGTCTTCCACAGTGGTTGCATCAGTTTGCATTCCCAACAAGAGTGCACAAGAGTTCCTTTTTCTTCACATCCTTGCCAACACCTGTTGTTTGTTGTATTTTTAATGTTAGCCATTTTGGTGGGTGTGAGGTGTTTTCTCATTGTAGTTTGGATTTGCATTTCCCTGAGGATAAGTGATGATGAACATTTTTTCATGTGTCTTTTGGCCATCTGGATGTCTTTTTTGGAGAAATGTCTGTTTATGTCTTCTGTTCATTTTTTAATTGAATTATTTGTTTTTTAGGTGTTGAGTTTTATAAGCTCTTTATATATTTTGGCTATTAACCCTTCATCAGATGTCATTATATCTTCTCCCGTTCCATAGGTTTTAGTTTTGTTGATGTTTCCTTCACTGTCACTATACAGAAGCTTGCTATTTTGATGAAGTCCCCAAGTTATTTTTGCTTTTGTTTCCCTTGCCTTAGGAGACATATCTAGAAAAAAATTGCTACAGCCAATATTAGAGAAGTTACTACCTGTGTTCCCTTCTAGGATTTTTATGGTTTCAGGCCTCACATTTAGGTCTGTAATCCATTTTAATTTATTTTTGTGTATGGTGTAAGAATGTGGTCCAGTTTCTTTTTCTTTCTTTCATATTTTTTTATAAAGATTTTATTTATTTATTTGAGATAGAGAGCGGGAGAGAGAGAGAGAAAGCAAGCACCAGTGGGGGAACAGAGGGAGAAGCAGGCTCCCACTGAGCAGAGAGACTGATGTAGGGATCAATCCCAGGACCCGGAATCATGACCTGAGCCCAAGGCAAACACTTAACCAACTGAGCCACCCAGGTGCCCCAAAAGTGGTCCAGTTTCATTCTTTTGTGTGTTGCTGCCCAGTTTTCCCGATACCATTTGTTCAAGATACTGTCTTTTTCCCATTGGATGGTCTTTCCTGCTTTGTCAAAGATTGATTGACCATATGTTTATGGGTTTATTTCTGGGTTTTCTGTTCTGTTCCAGTGATCTGTTTTTTTTTGTTGTTGTTGTTTTAAAATATTTTATTTATTTATTTGACAGACAGAGATCACAAGTAGGCAGAGAGGCAGGGAGAGAGAGAGGGGAGTGGGCTCTCTGCTGAGCAGAGAGCCCGATGGGAGCTCGCCCCAGGACCCTGAGATCATGACCTGAGCTGAAGGCAGAGGCTTAACCCATGAGCCACCCAGGCACCCCTGTGTGTCTGTTTTTGTGCCAGTACCACACTGCTTTGATGACTACAGCTTTGTACTGTAACTTGAAATCTGGAATTGTGATGCCTCCAGCTTTGCTTTTCTTTTTCGAGATTGCTCTGGCTATTTGGGGATTTTGGGGTTCCATACAAATTTTAGGATTGTTCTAACTCTGTGAAAAATGCTGGTGGTATTTTGATAGGGATTGCATTAAATGTGTTGCTTTGGGTAGTATAGACATTTTAACAGTATTTGGGCTCTCACTCCATGAACATGGAAATGTCTTTCCATTTCTTTGTGTCATCTTCAATTTCTTTTATCAGTGTTTTACATTTTCAGAGTATAACTCTTTTGCCTCTTTGGTTAGTTTAATTTGTAGGTATTTTATTGTTTTTGGTGCAGTTACAAATGGGATTGTTTCTTACTTTCTTTTTTGCAGCTTCATTATTGGCATATAGGAATGCAGCAGATTTCCGTACATTGATTTTGTATCCTGTGAATTTTCTAACTTCATGTGTTAGTTCTGGCAGGGTTTTTTTGGAGTCTTTTAGGTTTTCTATACAGTGTCGTGTCATCTGCAAATAGTGAAAGTTTGACTTCTTCCTTACCGATTTAGACGCCTTTTCTTTTGTTGTCTGATTGCTGTGGCTAAGACTTCCAGTTCTGTTGAATAAAAGTGGTGAATGGGATTGACTCCTTAATTTCTCTTTCTTCTGTCTTGTTGTTGGTGTAGAGAAATGCAACTGATTTCTGTGCATTGATTTTATATCCTGACACTTTACTGAATTCCTGTACAAGTTCTAGCAGTTTTGGAGTGGAGTCTTTTGGGTTTTCCACATACAGTATCATATCATCTGTGTAGAGAAATTAAAAAAAAAAAAAAAAGTGGTGAGAGTAGACAACATTGTCTTGTTCCTGACCTTAGGGGGAAAGCTCTCAGTTTTTCCCCATTGAGTATGATTTTTGCTGTGGGTTTTTCATAGATGGTCTTTATAATGTTGAACTTCCCTCTAAACCTACTTTGTTGAAGGCTTTTACCATGAATGGACGTTATACTTTGTCAAATGCTCTTTCTTTGTCTACCGAAATGATTATATGGTTCTTATCCTTTCTTTTATTGATGTGATGTATCATGTTGATTGATTTGTGAATATTGAATCATGCTTGCAAACCAAGGATAAATCCCACTTGATGGTGGTGAATGATTTTTTTAAATGTATTGTTGGATTTAGTTTGCTAGTATTTTGTTGAGGATTTTTGAGTTAATTTTCTTTTTTCTTTTTTTTTTTTTTTAAAGATTTTATTCATTCATTTGACAGAGACCACAAGTAGGCAGACAGGCAGGCAGAGAGAGAGGAAGGGAAGCAGGCTATGTTCATCAGAAATATTGGCCTATAGTTCTTTTTTTTTTTTTTTTCTCCTGGTGTCTTTTTCTGGTTTTGGTGTCAAGGTGATGCTTGTCTTATTCCAAAAATTAATTTTTAATTATCTCTTTTGAACAGCAGGGGTAGGAGATACTAAAAAATTTCTAGTGAGCAAGATGTAGTTAATCAC